GGAGTACAGGGCTCTGGGAACATGTGGTGGTCCTGTGTCACCTGGAGTCTCTGGGTACATCTGAACACTCCACATCCGTACATCTGAACACTCCACATCCCTTTGAACTTCCCATTGCCCTCCTGCACTCAAAAAAGGGCATGCCATACCCCACACTGCAGTAGTAAACCTAATCCACCTACACCCAAAAATAAAACTTTACCAGCTAGAAGGTGGCTCTGGACAACATCATCTCCTCAGCACAAGCTCTGTAGTCCTGGGGAAGAGTTTTACTGGGTTCTTCAGCCTCTGCCAAGAGCCATTTTACTGAACTTAACTTTAAACAAAGAGATTTAAGGTTTAAAAGTGGTTTTAGGGATTGAAGGCAGGAGCCCAGCCTGGTAACACACCCAGCAAAGCCCTCAGTACCATCAAGGGGAGCAGAGCAGACCCAGAGTCACAGCCAGGCTCAGCCAAGAGCTGACATCAGGCAAGTTTGTGGAGATGGGGCAGCTCACAGGACATGCCACGCATCAGGGTGAGATTCAGTGAAGGTAGTCCAGGTCAGACACCATCCAGCAATTCCCACCAAGTCCATGATGGCAGAAGGTCCACAGACCTGGGGCAGAGTTTGGGGATGTGCAGCCAGCACAGTCTGTGGCTGAGCTGGAGCCCAGCACCTCCCTGACACAGCTCAGGGACAGATGGAGGTGCTGGGCACAGGGTGAGGGGTGTCCCCAGCTGAGAGGCCCCAGCTTCTCCAGGTCATAAATGTCTGTTAGTGCCCACATCTGAGCCTGTGAGAACATTCACTTTCCTCAGAAGTGAATATGTAACAATATCTGTACCTGGAATGTGACAATACCCAAACCTGCATCTGTACCATGCTTCAGATGTTACTAAATCCAGCCTGGGCAGGGTTAGCAGTGTACTGTAAGGCTCTGCTTCTAGTTTTCTATATGAACTGTAAATAATGCCCAACAGTCAAGGTATCTGGGAAGGAAACACACGGTGAGACAAGGCCAGCTCTTCACTTATGGCTACATCAAAGGCAAAGCTGCTCCCTTCAAAGGCAGACAGGAGACTTTTTTCTGGAGAAATCCACACCCTCTCTCCTAGGCATATGCACAAGGGAGGGTTTTCAGCTTGTGACTTATGTGATTTGAAAGAAATCAGATGTTGAACCATATGGGTTTGGGGCTTTTTGAGACTGTAAACTTTTTTCATTATAGGTAGAGGTAATGATGAGGCAGCTGTGTGCTCCAGAGCTGCAGGCCAAGGGAGATGAGGACAGGCAGGTGGAGTGGGATGGAGGGTGATGCCATAAAAATATATAGGGAGATAAAATTGCAGGAGGTGATTGCTGGGTCTGGCATGACAGCAGGACATCACATAAAGGCTGACAGGCAAAGTCTGCTCCATTCAGAGGCTGAACAGCAGTCTGAGGGCAGTACCTGAGCTCTGCAGAAGACAACAAACCATTCTTGCTCTTGGCTTCAGTTCAGCTGAGCAGTCCAGAGAGGTTAGAGGGCTCACACCACACATTATACCTTGTGCAAGTGCCCATTACTCTCTCTGCACAGCTCCAGAGGGACATATTTTGGCTTGTAAGCTGTGCATTTGTCATTTGTCTTTCTGATTACTGCTGACTCTTTCTACTGTTCTCATCTTTGCTTCCCCCACACTATTGCATTGTGCTTATTTCAAAAACAAGATGATTGTTCATTCTCCACAGTCTCACCCTTTTCCATTTCCAGTGGTCTCCATTAGGTAAGTTTGTAACAGAGCAGTTGAGAACAGCAGACTTACAGAAAAAAAAGGGAAAAACAAACAAACAAGCAAACAAACCCCACAAACAAAACAAAAACCCCAAAACAACAACAACAACAAAAAACCCAACAGCCAAACACCCACACCAGAAAAAAAGGGAGAAGAGTGTGTCTGTGTCTCCTTACCTAAGGTGAGCCTGCAATGGGAAGAGAATCTCATTCCTGACATCTTTCCTTGTGTTCATGGATGGCACAGACACAAACAATTCACCACCTAAAAGGGTGTGAGCCCCCATAAGAGTTCTTGAGAGGTGTGGGGAAGTTTGTCCTGGCACCCTTCACAAATTCTAATCTTTATCCTCTGTTTTATACATAATATTGAATCATTAAACTTAAAAGGGTCTTTTAAATTGGTTAATATGAGATTTTCATTTTCCTCTAGATTATTTTTTAAAGAAATTATATAAGAAAGGGAAATTCTGCAAGGGACAAAAAGCAGAACACCATCAGTGTGTCAAAACCCTTACTGAGGGCAATATGTTTGATATCTCCTCTTTTTCTTCTAAATTAAAGCACTGTGACATGACTTGTGCTTGGCAAATTGTATTGGATGTTGCTCATCTTATTTTCCAGGTATGTGCCTATTTGCTCCAGCATTTTCTGGATTTTGAAGGTAAGCTGGCTGTTGTACAATTCTCCTGTTCTTTTTGCTCTCATCTCTCCCACCTTTTAAAGACAGGCAATACATCAGCCTTCTGGTATCACCCCAGCCCATCCAGGAATTCAGAGATACCATTAATAGTTGTGAGATTACAGTTTTTCAAGGACTGCAGGATTAAGTCAGCCCCAGTCAATTTCAAAATCTCTAACTTATCTAAGTATTCTTTAACCTGATTTGACCCTAATCTGTGCTGAAATTTCTTTTCCTTAGTATTAATTTAGTAAACTCTTGTTCACTATTGACATTTTACTGAATATTTTGAAATATACATTAATTAATAGAATCATAGAAGCACAGAATCACAGAATGGATTGGAATGGACCTTAAGGATCATTTAGTCCATACCCTTCAGGAGGACAAACTTTTCATTTGCTCTTCCTCATGTTATTAATGGGCTTAAGGACTATTTCTTGTTCACCCTGATGTCTCTTGCTGGCTGAATTTGATTTTCTACCTTTTTGAGCTAATCCTTTATGATAATTTTCATATCAATATATAGTTATATATGTTATTTTATAGTTATCATATAAATGATAACTATGAAATTATAGGTCTTTCTTCTGATGTTGATAAAGAATTTATGATTTAGTAAATAAATTGCATTTCTTGTGTGCTCTCTAGGATAGTACATTTCTGCCTTTTCTCTCCAATGAAAATTTGTCCATTCTTTAATTTTACTGAAGTCTGAAAGAAGGTTTTTGAGTGCTTTTTTTTTGGTTGTAGTTGGTTGGCTGAGGTTTGTTTTGTGTGTTCTTTGTTTTGTTATCAGCTTCTTTTACAGCAAACAGCTCATGAAAGAGGCCAGGGGTATCAGAACTCTCTTGGCAGTATCAGCCAAAGAGCTGAGGGTTTATGGCCTTGCTGTGGCTTATGAAGATGCAGAGACAGAAGTGGCCAGCAGAACTTTGCATTGCTCTGCAGCTGGGGCTGCTAGAAGAGCCTGTGGTACCAGATAGGGGTTTTCGAGCTGTGCTATCTGCCTAACCAGCTAGGACTTGTATAAAGTGTTCATGTTGCCAGAATTCAGTCTGAATTTGCAGTTCCCTGGATCATCATTTTTTTCCAAGGGTCAGAAGATATCACTGAACTGGCAGTGCTGAGCCTAGGATGCATCAGGGAGTTCACTATACCAGGAACTCAGCTGTAAGTCTGCTTTACACATCTGGAGCAATGGAGAAGGCCTTAATTGAGGTTATAAACTAGCTCATGATGACATTTCCTGCCAGTTCTGTGGATCATAGAGGGTCTACATGCACTGAAAAGTCTTAAATAATTTCTGAGCTGGAACTGAAAATCAATCTATTTAAATATGTTGTTAAAAGTAAAAGGTTCATTGAAATCTGCCTGGTACTTTCAGGAGTAGAGACTCAATGGTTTGTATAGAAATACCCTTTACAAAGTTTCTTCCCATATATTTTGTTTGAGATATTTCTGGGGCAAGTTGAGAATGGCCAGTTCCCCTCACTGCATCATTTTCTATCATCTTATATCAGCAGCAGGTTTCAGTCAGGCTAAAGATCAAAGGCTTTGATCTCCAGTCATCTCACCATAACTAAAAGGAAGCCACATCTGGAGAATTTATCTAATTCTGTGGGCTATAAATATGTATGGTTTTGGTACTATGCAGTTAATCAAAAAGCTGAAAGAGAATACATGTGCCAACCTGCAAAGGTTGGATTGTACAGTAGGAACTGGTGAAATACCTTCTGATGCTTATTTCTGTGTCTGAGTAAACCACTCGGTGGTTTAGCACTTCGTTATGGTGAACTCAGTGCTGAGGACACAAGCCTCCCAGAGTCCTTAAGAATTAAGTCACTTATTTCTAAGCAAATACAAGTCTACTACAGGGGAATAGCCCAGAGACTTTCCTTGCAAGATTTTGAATCAGTCCACTCTGAAGACAGGGGCCTCAGGATAAAACTTGGATCTAGGTCTGAGCCCTGAATTTTTCATTCTCAAAATCTGGATCAGTTTAAAGTGCCTGAATTGCATCTCTGATTTCCCCCATTTGCTCAAAATCAGCCATAAACAGCACCAAGCTTAATTTAATCAGGCAGCACTTAAAATATGTAATCAGGCTCCAGTGGTGACTCCCTGCTTCAGCCTCCGAAACACAACTGATTTGTGCGCAGAAATGCCGAGACAATCGGAACTCCTGATTAGCTGAATACTCCACTTGTGTGATTATTTTTAAGCTTATGTATTTTTGCTGCAGATTTTTCAGGAGTGTGTAGCTGCTTTATTTGAAGGCTGCACCTGTATGGTCATGGCAGATCCACAGATGCTGGAGTGGCTGAAGAATGTGTTCACAGGTCAATGGCCAAAGTCTGTGCTGGGAAACGGAGGGATTTGCAGACATAACACCTGATTGGGAAACAACCCCCAGTTTCTGAAGACAAAATGGAAAAATGAGTAATGAGGATCCCCAAAAAATGCTTCCAAACAAACAAGCATCATGCCCTACAGCCACTTGTGCTGCTGCTGGTTTTCCTTGCAGGGCACAGTTGCTAAGGAATCTCCACATTTTTTACCTGCCAGACCTGAGACCCAACTGCAAAAAATCCCAAACCTCAGAGGAAGACTTTTCTTTGTAGTCATCTTCATTTCTCTCCTATAAAACTCCTTTTCCACAGGTAGGGAGGAAAGATCTGTAATGAAAGACAAATAGTGAGGAGCAGCCCAGGACAGCTCCCAGTTTCCCAGCAACACAGACACTCCGATCATGACTATTATGATTTCACCTTTTAAAGACTCTCCTGTCTATGGCTAATTTTACATAATGGGCTTTATTAATATTAATAATGTCTCAAACTCATGTGTGATGTAGCTAAGACATACAGTTTTGAGGCAAACCCCAGTTACATGATTGTGAAAGGCATGAAGATTGTAGTGAAGTCAGAATTACTCCCCCTCCCCTGACACCTTCATCTCTGGGACCAAACCCAATCCTGCCTCCTCCCCAGCTGCAAGGATTGATGCTCATGTTTTCCCAAGGAATTATTGTGCTCTGTAGCTTCTCATAGCGTCCTTCACCTGGCACAAGTGAAGCTGAGCTGTACATCCAAACCAGAAGAAATGGAATAAATAGTATTGTGTTGTAAATACAGCATGAAAAGTCACATTTGGGAGACAGTCTCACCATAATTTTAAGCTTTTCCATGTTTTATAGAACAATTTCAGTGCAGGGCTGACTCATTTACAAAGGTAACCACTTCTCTCTTCAGGCACTTAAGAGAGGCTCATTTCACTGATCTTGTTCCTGCCAAATACTTGCTACAGTGAAATACTCAGAACCACACTTACTCATCAGAGAACCATCCTCTTGGGAAAATAGTTCCTTACTCTGCCATATTTAAAACAGGATACTCACAGATCTCTAATTGGAATTCTGTTGACTAAGTGTTCTTCTTGACCATTCATACCCAGCGCTGGGTAATGGAAATTTGATTACTGATGTTTTGCACCAGAAGAAAATAAATTTAATGCTTTCAACTGGTATGTGTCCATGGAGTCTGTCCATACCACTTTTCTCATTATCTGGCTTAGAGTAATTATTATTAAACCTTGTGTGCTGAGTTTGGGTAACCACTTTCAGCAGAAGAGAATTCTGGATGGTGAAAAGGCCATTTAAAACCTGGTCTCCAGGGCTTATTTCACCAGATTTTTGCATGCTTGACTGACCAAGTTTGCAGTGTGAAACCCAGGGGCAATACAGAAAGTTCAGCTTTGCACTGGTTTTGAAAAAAAGAAAATAAGTCTTAATACTCTAAAATTTATCCCCAGGGTTGCAAAGAAGAGTGTAGTTTAATTGCAATGGGTGTTCAATAATTAGTAATGTGAACCACTGGAGAATCATTCCAGCAGTAGCAGTTAAATATTTTTTTTATAGGGGAAAGTGAACATGATGAAAAGGCTGCAACTATAGACATACCTCCCTAAATACACTTCCTTTGCAGGATAGAGTCACCAGACTGATGACAAAAATTGCTACAAGGCAGCCAAAAATAAAGAAATCAAACCCATATGTGTGGATGTGTTAGTGAACAGGGCCACACAACCTGCTGTTCTCAAGTCTAGGTGTGTAAATCCCCACTGTAAACCCTGGGGGGTGAAGGAAAACTATCCTTTCACTGAATATAACCTGAAAGACAGTTTTATGGGTACCTCTGTATTAGTGTCTTATGGAGGCCATACAAAGCGAGCTCTGAGGCTGTGGGGAGCCCTGGCTCCTGATGGGTGTGGAGAGGTCAGTGTCCCAGCTCCTGCATCCCAGGAAGATGTCCCACCCAAGATGTCTGTGCTGACTTGTACAATGTTAATTGGCTGGAAATGGCCAAAGGAGGCCTCTGCATTTGGAATGCTCTGACTTCACATGGTTACTTCCGATAAGTAAATTCTTCTTTTCAAAGTCAAATGTCTGCTCTGGTCCCTGTGCCTATTCTCAGCAAAGCCTGACCAGTGTGAAACACCAGCCAGAGGGATTTTGGCAGAATTTAGAAGCTCTGGGCTGGGGTCAGTATTTTATTTGTGTGTGCTCATCCATCATGGTCCATTCCTCAAGCAGCTCTGCAGTCCACGTGCCAAGACATTGCTCCCAGCAAGCAAAAAATCCTCGTAGTGGTGAAACTCTAAATAGCTATTTTATTTAGTATTTAAAGACCACTTTTCCTTTTATGCAGGTTAGTACCCTTGAAACCCCTCTGATCAATACTGGAGGGCTTACAACCAACATAAACCCAGGAGCTGCTGTAAATGGGTCTCTGCAGACATGGTTTCTGTGAACGGGCATGACTGCTCAGGAATGAGACTCCACATTCCAGCTGCTATAAGACTGCTGGATACTCAAAACCACCCTCACTTAAGCTCTGAGTCAAGGGTACTTCAGTTTCTAGTTTAACCATTGAGGAATAAAGCCCGAGCCAGCGCTGTGCACAGTGCTCTCACAGGAAGGCAGAAAGGCTCACAAGGCATTTACTCACTCACAGGCTGAGCATGCACACAAATTTAAGTGGCATATTAAACATCTCCAGGCAATTCCAAGCCCTTTAGAACCCACATCATCACTTGGTTTCTGCTTTAATTTTGTCATTTGCCTCCTGGCCTTCGTGGGCACTGGCTGCTTCACGATTCCTGCCTGCAACGTGTTTGTTGTTGCAGCAGACCTCTCGTTAGGGGTAGAAATGAGCCAAGACACAGACTCCCATTTAACAACATGAAAAGGGTCCCAGTTTATTCTTCTTTACAGCTTAGCCATCCTGACTCTGATTACAACAAGGTCTTACTGTAGGGTCCAACTGCAGACTCTGACTGCTGGTTATTTCCTGCTGGACTCTGTCTGCAAGTATTAATTTGCAGACTCTGACCACAGGGTTTTACCTAGCTCAGCTATGACTGCAGGCTCCAACAGCAGGCTGCAGCTCCATCAGGCCCAGACTAACCTCACAGCAGATCTTCTACAGCAGCAGCTCTCTCATTTTGTTCTTCTTAATGTCTCTCTGGATCATTCCTTCTTCCTCAGGGCTTCTCTACTTCATGAAGATCGTCTTCTTCCAGGTACCCCCTCACCACCCAACCCACCCCTTTTATCACACTTATCTTTATTAGTCAGCATCAAGGGCATTAAGGGCAAGGCTGTTCCTCTTCTTTGGTAATTTGGTAAAAGTTCAACAGTGATTTTCCAGGGGTGGGATCACCTGTAATCCCTTCTTCTACACCTACAGTTTGTAACCACTCCTCCCATCACCAGATATATCCCCTCTTCACAGCCTTTAAGGTACACATCTGCCTTTACTCCTTTCTGCTGGGGCTTTTCCACTGCTGTCAGTTTCTTGCAGAGCCCAGATTTCCTCTGCCTTTTGCCCAGGTCAGCATCCTCATGTCCCTGCAGCAGATCATTACAGTAAGTGACACTGGGTTGTTCCTCTCAAAACTCTTTAAGCTCAGACCTGAAGCAGACAACATAAATTTTGAAACAAAGCTCTGAGTTTTTATACAGTGAGGCATCAAATAATACAGCAGCCTCATGAATTCAGGCAGAATTCATAACTTTGATACAGCTGAAATGTCCTAAGCCTTCACTTTATATTTCCATGCCTTCATGCCATAGGAAGCTGATGACTCTCCGAGGGCTTTGCTACAGAAGAAAGTTGTATTGCTGCAGAACTTAATGTGAATCCATAAACTGATACAGTTTGACTGGAGCGAGGACTGCACTGACACTGATTTCCATATAAAGTGGCTTATTATAGGTTAGTCAAATGTGGTCCCAACCAAACCAGGAAAAATTTATACTAACTTGTGCTGATTGAAATTTAGAGATTAGGTGTAGCAGGTGGCTTTCTCCTGCAGATGATCTCTGAGCTGTGTGGCTGAGGACAGCACAGTGAGGTGCCAGCACAGGGAGCTCTGTCTCCAGAGGGATTCTCTGCCATCCCTGCTGTGCCTTGTCCAGTGCTCCAGATGTTGGTCCTTTCCTTGGTACGTGGCTGTTTGGTTGGTGTGGAGGTGCTCATGCTGTACCCCAACATCTGCCTTTACAGAACTGCAGAGCTTTTACCTTCACCCTACACACCTTGATGGGAAAAAAGATTGTACAGAACAGTACAGCTGTTAGGTGGAAGGAGCAGATAAGACACTACTCTTTCTCTAATTTTAGTGATTCTTTCATTAGTTGATATCTATCTGCTTCAGATCCTTCAGACTCATTAATAGATGTAATTTTAAAAGCTCTAGGCACCATACAAAGCAGTAGGTCTGTGCTGTTAGACAATCACAGTATACAAATGACTTTGCTTCAGTAAAAAACTCTGAGTTGAAATTTTCTATTCTCTCTTTTGCTACAGAAACAACACCTTGGATCTAGGTAGTAGCTATCACAAAGAAGAGTGGGTGAGGAGATCCCAATTTGAATGTGTTTCCCTGGTTATTTTAGGGACTTGTTGAGTAACAGTGTGAGGAGAACCCACTCCATTCCCTGTGTGTGTTTGGAGTCTGCGCTGTGATTAGTGATACTTCACAGCCTGTCTGTGAAGCGTTCTGCAAAGTTTTCAGACTGAGTAAGTCATAGAATCATCCACATTTCCATAATTGTGCATGTGTATGCTAATACATTTTTATTAATTGAGTAGCCAGCTGGGAAATTCCAGTCCTAGTAATGAGTCCTAATATGCAAAGGCCACATATTAGCTAAGAATGACTTAAAATACATCTCAGGGATCTGCTGTCACCTGGTGTTAACACCTGCAGAAAAGACATTTGTACAAAGCAGAGGAACTGGGAGGACAGATCCATCAAGGCAAGACACGAGGAAGCCCTTTGCCCCAGGATCAGAGCAGGAACAAATGGAAATAATTATTCTGAAGAGTGAGTAACTGAAATTCCTGTTACAAGGACTGTTTTAGCCATAAGCTAGTGAAGAGATGAAAAACTGCCATCAGAATGAAAAGTGCTAGAAGCAGCAGAAACACGTGCAACAGCAAGGTTAGCAATTGGGTAGGAAAAAGGAGAAAAAAACCTCTGCAGAATCTTCGCTCTCAGCAAAAATTGAAGGCAAAACCCAACAGATTCTGTTTAAAGAAATCGTTTACAGCGATTTTCTTTACTCCTAAGTTAAAGTGTGCATGTTCTCATTCCAGCTGAATAAGGGAGCCTTTTTGCTGATGCAGAACACATCTTACTAGTTCATTTTCAGTACAATGCACAGAGAATTAAGTGCACAATTCCTGGTAACAAGAATGGAGATTGCACACGTCTCCTTCCTTCCTGCACATCACAGAATAAATAACCAGGAGTGCAGGGCAGAGAATGCCAGACACATCACTCTGGCTTTGGTTATCAGGAGTCAGAGGGCTACAGCTAAAATCTACCCTAAAACAGCGGAAATATTTCTCTGTATAGCAATTCTTCCTATCTACCATTTACAAGAGCAATGACCAGCTTTAATATGCAGCAGCTGAATACAAATCAGGCTGTGAGCTCTGTGCTGTACAAAACCATCAGAAATAAATGCCTGAATTTTACCTTCTCAGGAAATCATGTCAACATCAGCACAGCCAGGTCTTCCTTCCAGTATAATCTCAATCAGGGCACAATTCAACTCTGATGGGCTTTTGTAAATATGGGACTGACCTTTATAAGCATGTGACATGGGCTTTGCTGGCTTCAATATCCGCCTGATCCGCCGAGGTGATGAGCTCCTCCTGCGCTCACTGAGCTCATCGGGACTGAACAGTGGGCAGGCTCTGAGCTCAGCCCTGAGCACTTGGTTCAGCATCTGTGAAACAGCCATGACATTGATCCTGGACTTGGATGGGTCTAAGGCAGAGCAGAAGCAGAGCTACATTCAGTCATGTGGGGGAGAAGTGTTTTTTTCTTGCAGCAGAAAGGAAGAAAATATTCTATTAGAGCAGATCCAAAGGAGGGCCATGAAGATGCTCTGAGGGCTGGAGCACCTCTCCTATAAAGACAGGTTGAGAGAGTTGGGGTTGTTCAGTCTGGAGAAGGGAAGGCTCCAGGGAGATCTTACAACACCTTCCAGTACATAAAAGGAGCTTATAAAAAGGAGGGAGAGGGATTTTTTATACTGGCAGACAGTAATGGGAAAAGGGGGAACAGTTTTAAACTAAAAGAGGAGATATTTAGATTAAATGTTAGGAAGATGTTCTTCCCTGTGAGAGTGGCGAGGCCCTGCCACAGGTTCCCCAGAGAAGCTGTGAGGTGCCTCTGCCCAGGGAGGCAAAGATTTAGTTTCAGATAAGCATTGTTAAAGTGAGAGGAGTGGCTTTAAAGCCCGGGAAGAGTAAATTCCATCCCTCTGCCTGGGGGGATGTGTCCTGTGAACCCGGGAAGAATTGTCCCAACCCCAGACCCTCTTGGGGTATCAGCCAGGGGTTCTGGTTGGTTTGTACCCCTGGGTTTTCTCCCTTGCTGTGCCCCTATTAGTCCACAACCTTAAACTCCACCCTGGCTCTGTCCCATAAAACCCATCACCCAGCCTCTGTTCTGGGCTTTCTGTCTCTGGATTTAAGCTGAGTTTGTTCCTGTGTTGAATAAATGGTTTCCTGAGATTAACCAAGCAGAAGCCCATCTTGTTGAGTCCCATGTTGGTCACCAGAATCCATAACCCCCCTGGATTTGATCCTGCAGCCCCAGTACGTGGCATGCCCCATCCCTGGAAGTGTCCAAGGCCAGGTTAGAGTGGGTTTGGAGCAACCTGGTCTAGAGGAAGGAGTCCCTGTCCATGGCAGGGGGATTGCAATGGGATGGGGAGTAAATGAGATATTTGCCAAACCAAATAATTTTATGATTCTGTGTGTTTTGAGAAAATACTTTATGACAAAACTTCCAACCTGCTTGTAAAATTATCATGTCTGTTGGTTTATAGCTTCATCTATTTAAATGTTTTCCTTTCTCAAGGAAAAAAGGGGGTGTCTCCCTGACTGGACAGAAGGTGCCTCTCTGGAACTGGAAGTAGCTAGGACAGGGTCACTGTCACCTTTAGTATTCCTGGTGCAGAGGAGGCATGGTCAAACCATGGCTTGAAAATGGCCTAAACGACTCTTTAGCCCTGTCTAGGACATGAATGGTCTAGGAAAGTGTCACAACTACAGCTTATGGTCTCCAAGCCATGATTGTGAGGCTTCTAGCTGGAACTCTGAGCTCAGCCTGACCTTTCTGCCCTTTTTTTTTTAAAGGAAATAATTAAACCATGACATCCTTTTACCAAGTAACTGAAACAAATACAGTCTCTTTGGCTTTGATTGAAGGTGATGGGGATGTTAGGTACAACTGGTTTTTGTAACCATTAATGCCTCTTCTGAAGATTACTGGATTTAAGTACTACAACTCCAGTTTCCAGAACTGGCTGAGAAGAGATTCTTCCAGTTAATCAACTGGAATAATTAATTCCTGAATAGCACCCTATCATAATCATAGAACAGTCTGAATTGGAAGAGACCTGTAAAGGTCTTCCAGTCCCCCTCAGTGAGCAGGGACATCAATGACATTGGGTTACTCGGAGGCCTGTCCAAGCTTGCCTTAAATGTTTCAATGGATCCACCACTTCTCTGGGCATCCTGTGCTAGTATTTTACCACCCTCATTGTAAAAAACATCTTCTTTATATTTAATCTAAATTAGCCCTCCTTCAGTTTAAAATAATGAGAGGAGACTGCTTTTGGTGTAAAGGATACACAGAATCATTTTATTCTTTCCCTGTAAAAGCAAAACATACCAAGGAACAGAAAGATAAAATTTAGCAGCACATTGCTAGAATGTGCTGTATTTCAGGCTCTCATTAAAAGCTGCTGCTGTGGCTTGCCCATGTGTTCATACAACCAGGGCACCCTGAGACTCTGCCAGCTACAAATTGTGTTTTGCTTGCAGCTCTGACGAGGAATCATTTTCGTAGCGAAGAGAAGAGTGGCCCTGCCTGGAGTTCCTGTCTCTGAGCCTCTTCATGCATCTATAAATAGCAAATCATCAGCTCACCTCCTCTGAGCTCATCACACCCTCTCTGCCTTCCCCTCCTGCCTGCTTGTTGAAGCTGTCACCGTGACTCAGATGTCCCCTATCAGATTCCCTGTGCAGGGAGATTCCCCATACATTATATGGCATCGTGAAGCTATTAAGCTCCTTAGGTTTATATCACCTAAGCTGCTTAGCTTTCTATCACCAGCAGTGATATGATGTTGAAGAACCTGACATTTGAAGCAATGTAATTACAATTTAAGGACTCAGAGCTCCTAAACATTTAAGTTAACAGAGAGAGTCTGCATCATTTAAATGACAACACTGAGTGAAAATAAAGTGTCAAAATCCCAGACGAATGTCATACACAAAATCAAGGACAAACATTAGCTATGACCATGTAGGACTGCAGGATTTCACAGACTCTCCTGCAGAATTCCCTAAGACACCAGGCATCAATCTATTTCCCTTACATTCAGCCCCCTGCTCAACAAAAATATTATTATTTACACTCTAAAGCAAAATTCTGTTATTCTTTGCTTAAGAAATGCACAGATGAAGAAAGATATTTCTCATTATAATCTACTTAATTTTCAGAGTTTATTTGTAATTACTGAAATGACTGTAACTTCAGTCTAATACTGCTTTCAACCCCCTGTAATGGCAATTACTCGTGTAGTCATCAAAGTATGGGATTGTTTGCACTAGAAATCTCCAGATAACCTGCTTCCTCAGTGACACTAGAGATATCTGTCAGGTCCTAACACTTCATTTCCTGAATAAATGTTTCATAGACTGCACACTCAGAATGTGAAAAGAGTAAAATATTCTTTTGATCATTTGTTTGAAATATTTGCTTCATCCTTTGAAAATGAATGTAACCCAGCATGCAGTCAGCAGTGAGAAAATTAAGCTGGATAAATTAATATACAGAGATTTAATGATATTTTGTGGTCTTTCAAGCAATATAAACCCAGAGTTTCACTCTTCTCCTGTATACATCTGACCTCTATCTTGCCAGGTTTAAGGATGAAATATTGCTGAAGATGCTGCCCAAACATTGCATTTGAGCTAAGTGTGGATGCTAGAGCCAGCACAGACACTCAGTGTTTGTGCAGCTCCACCCTTGAGGTCCAGGGCAGATATGGAGATTTTAACAGTTTGACTCAATGATTTTAAAGGTGTTTTCTAACCTAAATGATTCTATGGTTCTGTTCTATGTCTGTACCTGTACATGCCTAACATTTTACCTACAAATATTGCAGTGAGTCCTGCCCTGCCTGTACCAAATTCAGAAACAAGAAGTCTTGTGATTGACCCAGAAGAACTGTTTCTCATAAAGTAAAAATCCTAGAGAACTGAGTATTTTCTCACCCAGGAATGCTGTGACATGAATACTTAACCAAGAGCAAGGAAGGTGTAATTGTAAGGGCTGTGAGTCCATCCCTTTTTAGATGGATGTGCACCAGCACAGCTGGAGAGCCAGACTGCTCTTCATGTTGACCCTCATAACTCTCACCTGCTTGGTAAGCAAATACACTTTGCAGGAAAGAACAGAAACAAGCAGCAATTTAACATGTGGTGGTATAAAAATGCAGAACTGCAGAAAAACAGAGGTGGAGATCACTGGGTTTATGAGAATTGTGTAACCTGCTTTTGGAGCTGAAATACACTGAGGACAATTTGGCTTCCTACTTCAGGTGCATGTTTTTAATGAAATATATAAATTTCCAAGCTTAACTATTGATTTATTATGATGTTTGATAATTGATTAGCAAAAAGAGACCAGTAGTTCTCTTGGCACTAATTGTGATTTTGTTATTTTCTTCCTTTCTGTGCCTTATTGTTCCCTGTGCTTGCCTTACAGCTGTGCTGGAAACCCTTTTGAGGGTCTTTACTCCAAACCTTTGGAGTAAAGACAAGGCAGTGGATTTGTTTGTGTAGAGCCCATGTAGGCTCCTTGCCATGACCAGGAGTCTGAGACATTATAATAATTCAAATTATAACATGCAAACAGAATCCAATGTCATGTATTGAGGAACCTGTTTCTGCTCTGCTTTAAAACACCAGTAAATAAGGATTTTCCTTGTGGTGTCACTTATTTTGTTATGTATTTTTGTCAAGGAAGCCAGTTGCAACAAATAGAACCCTAATAAAGCTTATTTCAAGTTAATTTAAAAGAATGTGCTCTCTCTCTTGACTCATCCATCTCTACAAAGAAAGTAGCAAGCAATCCAGGACATTCAAAGCCTAACAACATTCAGATGTGTCTAGACATAAATAGCAACTTCTAAACCAAGAATTTGCCTCTGGAGCCTTTTCAGTAAGTCCCCAAATAGAAAATATTTAAAGGGTGATCATGATAGTATAATTTCTCTTTGTTTGAGGCAAGGATGGAGTGAATGTGTCATGAAGCACTAAGAAAGAACAAGAGGAATCTCAGTGAGACAAAATGAAAGGACTTCATTATAGACAAGACCCTCACTCTGGTTAAATCAATCATAAATCTGTTGACTTCAATCGCCAAGGATTTAATGACACAGCTTAAACCAAAAACACTTTTTAGCACCATAATGTACAATTTGAGGCCTCAGTTTAATTTTTTTCTGTAAGTTTATACGCCAGAACTGCAGGATCTGGCCATGTGCCTGCAGCAGAGCCCTCACTCAAAGCCATGGCTGGAGCAGAGCTCATCAGGGACTTTCAACAACCCTTTGAGCAATATCCCAAACTCTAAATGAGTCTACCTGGGATTTCTTTGAGTATTAGTAAATAATTGGAATTTATCTATAACAAGTTGGTGTTTCCACAAACTGACATTAAAAGTGTCCTCAAGAATAAGTGGCACAGAACCCACGAGAGAGGCACCCTGGCACCACCTGCCAACAGCACCAGCTGTACCTCTGACCTCTCCCAAGCGGGGGAC